GTCATTTTTATAATGATACAAGAATATTGCTGAGTGGCTAAAACTCTTCCACCTTAACTTTTCATAACTCCTTCCACATCAAAACAATTTCAGGTCATTAATGACTGCAGTGTTAGTTGTACTTCTGCAGCAGCTTTGTTAGTGTGGAGGAGATTATTCATAAACTTACAAGCTTCTGTGGAGGAGAAGAGAAAAAGGCTCATAAGTACAGAGTATTTCTATGATAAAATCTCAGATTAAATGTCAGTGTTTTACAAAGTAATTCAGTGTTTTTCTTCTGTTATGTACACTGGAGAAACATATGCTTATAGTTACTCATCCAGGTGCTTGTAGGGCACAGGACTGAAAGTGCATCCAGTGCGTTGGACTGCACTGTCTGTCTTGATCATTCCATATTTGCTATTAGTGACAAAGAAAGTAGCTACAGATTTAGCTAGTGCTGAAAACAGAGGAAAGTATTTTTTAAAACTATGACTTCATTATGGAGAGATAGAAAATCTACATGATCTTAGGGTTTTTAATTATTTTTTTTTTTGCTAATGCTTCCATAGGTCGGAGTGGAAAAAAATATGGATAGGGATAGTATTGAGTAGATATACTTTATGGCTGTAAGTTGAGGAATGAATACTTACAGCATAGATCATACTGCTGTTTATAAAATCTGGAAAAGATGTCTGGAAATAACTGTATCTGGACCTTTAAAAATGCATTTCATAATTGAGAAAAGTCAGGTCATGATCTGAAATGGTGGCCTCTGCAACTGAAAGTCATCTTTTCTTTTTTAATTCTCCTGAGTGAATATTTTCATGTGTTCTTCTAACTATCTGCATATGTGGAGGCTTGCCTCTGCCGAGGTCAGAGAAGCATCTGTATGTTTAGTAATGGATAAAAAACTGTGGGAATATGAGAGCTGATGCATTCACCCACTATATACCTAAAACTATTTTTTCAAAAGCATGTACATGTCTTTTGCGTAACTCATATGTGAAACTAACATTGGAATTTTTTTCAGTTTCTAAATGATTTTAGCAGTGGAAGTTATAAACTTCAGAGACCTAAAGAAATCATCATGAAGCTATATGTATTTCTGGTCAACACTGGAACTACCCTTACCTTTGATACGGAACTTGCTGTACAAAAGTAAGAAAGTAAATTAATTGTGTATAGTTTGTTTTTCAAATTTTAAAAAAAAAAGAATATATATGCTTTTCATATGCTAAATTTTGGAGAGATGATACTCAGTTGCTTTTTAGTATATCCATGTAGTTATCTTCTAGGTTTTCATGTATTTGAGTGAATTTTGGGAGGTTTTTTGGATTACTGTTTTCAGTGCCTTGCAGATGACTGTGTGTGTTTGAGGTCCCATGAAAGAGTGGAGTGGTTATTTACTTTCTGGGGCAGTGACAGAGGATGAGCTGCTTTTAGCCAAGTCTGGTGTTATGTTTGGTGCTTTTTGGAAAAGAAAAACTGTCAGAATGACTTCTGATCTTCTGTGACCTTTTATTAGATGGTGTTTTCATTTAAGATTTTTCTGTAAGAGGTTTATTTTTTTTACGGACTGGCATCACAGAAGAAATTCTGCAGATTGTTTTCTCCTGTCAGTATATACTCATCCTGAAGAAAATGTGCACTTTGTAATGTTTTTAGATTGGATGCTAAAGAACTGGTTGTCTCATACCCAGGATGGGTAAAGGTTGGTTCTGTCCTATGCTGTAAGGCTCCAAAATGTTTTACAGCATTTCATACGTAAAACGCGAACTTCTGAATGCCCAACTGCCTGAAATGTGAGCAGTATTACAGAATCAGTTAAGTCCCAACAACTTTGCTGTTTGTATTTTTTCACTGCACGTTTAAAAGCATCTTGCAAAAGTAAAGATGCTTTTAGAGAGGTGTAGACATACTGGATGTATTGTATCCTTTTCCTTGTTCTCATGTGGGACTCTATTAGAGTAAATTGTGTTTAAATCATGATAGCACATTACACCTTGGACCTAGCAAGAGCCAAGCTTACCTGCTGTCTTCATGTTCTATCTGTGATGAATGAGTTGCGAGTAATTGTGCTTGAAAGACTTCTACCATGAATTTTGTGCTCAGATCCATTGTTTCCTTTCTCCTGAATTCCAGTTTGTACTTTCATGACTCAACAAGTGAATCTAGATTTTGAAACTTGTTTGGGGTGGAAGGGCGGAAGGGCCCTAAGACTGTCTACACTGATAGCTTTTCTATGCTGTTTTTCAAAGCCCACTGATACTCAGGGTATTATTGAGCATGAAATAGTATTTCCTCTCAGCCATTTTGGATCTACTGGGTCACTTGCAGATGTATCAGCACCCTTGTATGCTGTCTGGTACATTGAGACATTCTGTTCTTAAATCACGGTGAGTGAGCTACAGCATCTTAACTGCCAGACTAGGCACCTAATAGTCTGCTATGGGCTGACTTTTTGCTCAGTTGGATAGTTCTTTGAGAAAGAAGCTTTCCAACCGGCTGAACCACACAAAATCCAAGACTCTTCAGTTGAACAGTTTAACTTCTTATTCTGTATATCTAGACTTGCTCTTTCTAGAAAGACTAATTTTCTTGGGTTCTTTGCCCATCTTCTTGCACATGGACTGGTCAAGCTGTCTTCCCAACAACCATGGAGATGATAGGTGAATGTTTACTGTAACACAGCTAGTGGGTACAAGCTTGTGCTTATGAGATGTTTGTAGTGAATTCATGATGTTATATTGAATCATGGTTATTTTAGATAACCGATCTTTGTTTTTCAAGTACCATAGAGCAAATAACCTTGTTATGCTTCTTGCTAGTTATATCAAACCCATTGATTATTCACTTGATACTCTGAAGCTTTTTAATACCTTTGCACAGGTACTACCCCTGTCTGTTACAGTTTTTGTCAGTTACTGTATCATATTAGTAAATTCTCATTTAGTTTGCTGTTTGCCTGTGTCTTCAATACAAAGTCTAGAACTGTCTCAAATTAGCGGTAATGGAAGATGTCATCACCCAGAATTAGAGGTACAACGATGGTGGATGAAAAGAGGGATGGCTTACTGATCTACTGTTTCTGCATCAAAAGTGTCTGTAATGTTTATATTAATTTGCTGCATGTAGATGGGTCATTTAATTGCTTGTTTTGTTAAGTGCTATACTGCACTTCATGTACAGTAAATCAGAGCTGATTAGGTGAAACTGTATTTTTGTTATGCATAAAGAAGTGTTACTACTCTTGTCATCTTCTAGAGTTTCAGCTTTTTATTCATAAAGTATATATTCAAAGAACACAATATGACTTTTACTATTCTAAATCCTTGATGTGACTTAATCCAGAATTTCAGCATAGAATCACAGAATCATTGGGTTGGAAAAGACCTTTAAGATCATCGAGTGCAACCGTACCTGTCCACTACTAAACCATGTCTCTAAGCACCCCATCTACCTATCTTTTAAATACCTCCAGGGATGGGGACTTGACCACTTCCCTAGGCAGCTCATTCCAGTGCCTGATAACCCTTCCAGTGAAGAAATTTTTCCTAATATCCAATCTAAACCTGCCCTAGTGCAACTTGAGGCCATTTCCCCTTGTCCTGTCGCCCGTTACCTGGGAGAAGAGACTGACCCCCACCTCGCTACAGCCTCCTTTCAGGCAGTTGTAGAGGGCGATAAGGTCTCCAGGCTGAACAACCCCAGTTCCCTCAGCTGCTCCTCATAAGACTTGTGCTCCAGACCCCTCACTGGCTTTGTTGCCCTTCTCTGGACATGCTCCAGCACCTCAATGTCCTTCTTGTAGTAAGGGGTCCAAAACTGAACACAATATTTGAGGTGCAGCCTCATGCTATCAGATCTTCTTGGAAGAAGGTTGCTGATGACTTACTTGTAATGCAGAGGCTGTCTTCTTTTAGCTGATAGCTTATTAGCTGGATATGCAGAATGCAACACTTTACAGCACTTACAAAACTTAGAAATATGTCATTGTGTAGAATAAAAAATAATACTTCTTTAAAAAAATGTTCTGTTTTGACACAGGTAAGTTACCTGTGTCTATTACAGGAATATGCAAAATTAGAGACACAAGCATGCTGATAGTGTCATCTTCCCATTTTTTTCCAGTGTGGCTGATCTGAAACATGCAATTCAAACAAAGTATAAGATTGCCATTCAGCACCAAGTGCTGGTTGTCAATGGAGGAGAGTGTATGGCACCAGACAGGAGAGTGTGTAGTTACAGTGCTGGAACAGTAAGTGCATGCTGCATTCTTTATCTAAACTGTCATTTACAGGGGAAGAAACTAAGGGATTTTTAAGTGTTTTTCTGTAGTGTACTGTTTGCTGGATTTCTTTGCTTTGAGAAGTAGATATTGTATGTATTCAGCTTATACATGTAAATATGAATGTATTCTTAAGGACACATTAACTGCATGATGAAATAATTGGTGATTGAACGTTACATTGCCTTTACTCAGTGTTTGGTTTCATTTTCTTTTTGAGTGTAGGATACCAACCCAATTTTTTTATTCAACAAAGAAATGATCTTGTGTGAACGTCCACCAGCTATCCCCAAGACCACATTTTCAGCAGAGAATGAGATGGAATTGAAAGTAGAAGAATCTCTTATGATGCCCGCAGTGTTTCATACAGTAGCATCACGGACGCAACTTGCTGTGGTAAGTAAATTCTTACTGTACTTGCACACCAAAGGAAAATAACCTTTTTGTGTGTCAGAAGGAAAGCTTAGCATAAATTATGAAATAGTTTGTTAAAAAGACAGTAAGAATGGCGTATTAGTGATGATGTATTCTTCAGAGCCATTGTCTCGAAGTATCAAGGTAAGTATTGAAATGTGCTTGCTTCTTCAGCATGTTCAAAGCTTCTTTCAAAAGCATACTGTAATACAGCTTTAGGGCTGCATATGTTTACAGCATTTGCAAAATAAAAGCAATCTGCTTGCTTTGGACCCATGCCTTAATGCTCTGCC